TTAAACCCCCGACATTAGGTCCTCATTTTTCCCCTCCCTCCCCGCTCCCCTCTCCCTCATGTGCCCTTGATAGTTTATAAATTGGTATTTTGTCCATTTGCTTCTTTCTTGTACTCATTGTTGGCATCCCATTTACCCTCAGCCTCCCCAGCCATGCCCTTAGGTAATTGTTAATCCAGTTCCTGTCACCACAGATTTACCTGTCCTGGATTTCATATTCAGGAAGCCACCTAAAATAAAAAGCAAACAAGCCCCAAAACTCAACAATAACAAAAGTATAACAGAAAAACCTCAGTTGATTAGAACGCAGCAGATATTAAAAACTGAAACAGCTTTAAGATTGGTCGAGAGATCAGATGATAAGGTATTACCTTTTCACTTAACGACGCTTGCCACGATCAGCTTGACAATGCGTTCTCTCTGACAGCAATGCATTCGCATCCCTGGACAATAGTCGCAGGGAATTGAACTGGGAGTTTAATTCATGGAGGTGGGGGGACCCTGCAAATGGATTTTGGGCTTCCACTGCCATCCTTAGCTTCTACTGTGGATATTCAGAATTTAACCTCTGATACCATTCCCTCCTTTGGATTTGGATATTATCATTTACAACCCTCAGATCACATGGGCTAGGGTGCATCTTCCATGTGAGTTGAGTTAGTGCCTCCGTTGGATGGCTGCTTGTTTTAAGACAAGCCTTTAAGCCTCCAAACGCTGTTTCTTCTTATAGCCAGGCACCATTGGATTTCTTTAAGTGCAGTTACTTTTACACCTTACCATTTTCGGATTCTGAAAGCAGCACAGAGGACCATGCTGTGGGCCATGCATCAGCCAGCAGATCCCAAAGGTGACATTTCTGAGTGGGAACCATCCTGTAGGAGCACGGGTTCCTAAGCCAGACTCAAATGCACCTGGGCTCCTTCCTGAAAGGCTGGGAGTTTGCGCACCTCCCGGGATAACTCAGCGGAAAGGCCTGTGACTCTACTTCCCCAAATAGTCAGCTATCAAAACCCGCCGGAACACACATGACACACGAGACCGCCACGAGTCAGAATCAACTCAACACAACCAGTTTGCTTGGGTTTCTTTTAAGAAGAGGGGATGGGGAACCTCCAGAGCCCTTTAGTAGCCAGCCCCTTGGCAACCAGCTGATTCTTGTTCAGAAGCAGCCCTACTGCACAGGTTGTGTGTGGAGCACAGCTAACAGCCAGCTGGATGTAGTCAGCTTCAGCACAGTGAGAGACGGAACACTGCATGCACACTTTCACACTGCCCCATAGCTTGTGTGCTTAGAGAGGAAGGCAGTGGCGCTCCAAGGCCAGGCTTGTCCTTTGGAACAATGACGAGATGAGAGTCTGAAGAGGCACAGCCAGAAATGTGTGTGTGTGTGTGTGTGTGCTACTTTTGCCCAAATCTGTATCCTGCCATGTACACATGGCGGTGTTGTTGACGTCATACTGTTAAACTCAGATTTTCTGCCTTATGGATTATTTTAGTCCGTCTCCCTGTCGGGTAGAACTGCCAAGATGCATGCCGGGAGAGTGGTGAGTGCTGAGTGTGCTAAAGCAAGGAGAAGCACCGCTCCCGAGAACCAGGATATCTGACTCTTGTTTGATGACCTGGTTTGGAACTAGTTTGAGTTGTCGATCTTGATGCAAGTAATGAGCAGTCACGATTTTGCACGATGGAGCATCAGCCTACAGCAGTGGTTCTCAACTTTCCTCCTGCCGCGACCCTTTCATACAGTTCCTCATGTGGTGGTGACCCCCCCCCCCCCCCCGCCCCCCCAACCATAACATAATTTTCGTTGCTACTCCATCACTGTCATTTTGCTACTGCGATGAATCGGGCGACCCCTGCGAAAGGGTTCCTGTGAAAGATTGCGACCCACAGGTTGAGAACCGCTGGTCTGTAGGATGAGCTGTGTCCTGGTTTGTCTTTATGGGTGTGACCATGACCCAGCCAAGACGGTGAGAAACTCAGAGGCAAACCGGCTCGAGGAACGTCTTGTTGCCCCTTGCTGCATGTGAGCATAGCGGGGAAGGCATCTGTTATTCTGAGGGAAACGGTGCAGTGAATTTCATACACCCAGATGCACACTCTACCCTTCACAGTCCCAAATAACATGCTTATACCTCCCTGCTGGGTACCCGTTGGAACATCGGAAGAATAGCTTGCAGCTCCGAGTAGAGAATTGTGATTTCTGTATTCCATTCACAGGTGAGCGCATGTGATTCCCCAGGTCTGGCCCATGCTGATGGCATTATAATTTTCAGCAGGGGTGAAATTTTCCCAGAGTGGTACATCCTGGGTTGCAGCTTTGGGCCTTGGGAGGGGAAAAAGGAAAAAAAAATCCTTTCTCAGTCCTTTCCTGAAATGGTTGACCATTGGAGACCTCGGTACTCCCACCCCCCCCACCCCCAGCTCCCTTTGGTAGACTGTGGAAGGGAGGTGGTAGCAGGGACCTATTATTAGTATTTTAATCTCCGCTTGTGTGTAGTTCCTTTTGAACTCTGAATGCAACGTTTGGTCTGAAAGGGGGCTTTCTCCAGCCTTGGCGGCCGTTGCGGAAACTCACTACTGGTGTGCAACTTTCCCTGGGAGACGGGCACCCCTCTGCCACAGAGAGCTTTCTGGAACGACGGTGCCCGTCTCTGAATCGCCAGGACTGAACTCTGATGGCAAGTGAACCGTCCAAGGGCTGAGCCCCTGGAAAGACGGTGCCCCTTCAGAGACGGTGCCCCTTCAGAGGGAGCAGCCACCACAGGACGGAGCTCAGCTTCCGGACAAGTCACAAGCCTGTCAACGCTCATGGTGTGAAAGCCCACCTCCTCCGGTTCACAGCCCGCTTGTTTCCACCTCTGGAGAGAAGGTAGCCAAGACACTGTCAAGTAGGTGAAACGAGATGAGACCGTTAGCAGCACAGGACTCTAATCCACAGTCAGCAAGTGTGGCCTCCAGACTGGCAAAGCCCCTCCTGCTTCCCGGACTCCCTCGTGTCCCCTCGATGAAATAGGATCTTTACATGGAAATGCTTTTTCCTCCTGAACCTGGCCGCCGAACGTTGCTCGCTGGTGGGGCCGCCCGCCCCTGCCCACTCCCCATTGTCAGGGACAATGGCTCTTGCTGCATTGATCATTTCACTGTTAAAGGTTTCCCAGCCCTGGACTTCACGTGACCCCGCCGGCTCTAACTTTCCCTTTGTTTTCAATGTGGTCAGACTGTGTTGGGGTTTTTCTAGGTTTTTTCCCATAGAGCCAAGCTTTCTAAAAGCAAAACTGAAAATGGATTCATGAAAAGGGCAAAATGTTGGTAAAAAAACAAAAGGCATTGGAGAACTGAAAGTCAGATTCTGTGGTGCGGCTCCCAGTTTGATTTTGGAAACCAATACTTTTAGGCATAACAGGATACCATTTGGGCGTAGTGTCCAGATAGGTTTCTTGTATTTCTGTGACTTTCAGAAGGCTCTTTAAAGCCGCGGTAGCTTGAAGCAGGCCATGGACCCACACTGGTCTGCAGGCTGTTTGTTACAGTCCCACACAGATTTAAGTATGGACAATTAGGAGTTAGCATTAGAAACGTGTCACAGCTAGACATTGCTGACATCTAGCTCATTTTAAGATAATTCTTCCTGGCTATATTTTACATGAAATTACAAAAGATTAGACAAACAAATCCCTACCCCGACCCTTCATCACAGATAGTTTGTGAAGCACATTGTCCTTTGGAACAATGACGAGATGAGAGTCTGAAGAGGCACAGCCAGAAATGTGTGTGTGTGTGTGTGTGTGTGTGTGCTACTTTTGCCCAAATCTGTATCCTGCCATGTACACATGGCGGTGTTGTTGACGTCATACTGTTAAACTCAGATTTTCTGCCTTATGGATTATTTTAGTCCGTCTCCCTGTCGGGTAGAACTGCCAAGATGCATGCCGGGAGAGTGGTGTGTGCTGCTCAGTAGTAATTACTACATGGGCTACAATACTGACTGCAGAGGCTTTTACCAGCAGAAGGCCAAGGCATCTATGAGAAAC